ACTCTGTGTAGACATGGCTGTAGACCAACCAGGTTTGCCTCGAATTCAGAGATCTGCCTGCTTCTGCCCTCCCACACCCAGTGCTGAGAGTAAAGGCGTGTGCCACCCTTTCTTTGGGGTTTGTGTTTTTCTGGGATTCCTGAGTGAGCAAACGCACGGCCTCTGCATCTACATCTGTTTCTCGTTCTTGGGCTTTCTTCCTTCTGTTTGCTTTGTCCTATTCCAATGTATTTTTTTCTTTTATTATATTTTATTTTTATCTCTTTTAACCTGTTTGTTTTCTAATGAGAAAAAGAAAGGGGGTGGATAAGGATAGGAGGGGAGGTGGGAAGGAGCTGGGAGGAACAGAGGGAGGGGAAATGATAATCAGGATGATTATAAGAGAAAACCCTCAATTTTCAATAAAAGAGAGGAGTGAAAATTTTCTGCATCCCATAAACCTCTCCGCCGATACCATCATCCAAATCAGACCAAATCAAACTGAATTAGAAAAGACCCAGGTTTAATGGATATGAATGCTACCAGAGGGCTTCCCGCCCCTCCCCCCCAGGGAACAAAAAGGAAGACTGGAAAACCACATGACTGGTCTCCAGGGGCAGTTTAACTACCCTGTGGGTGTGGTCTTGAGCATCTCTGGGGAGGGGTCATAGTTTGGCAGGCTTTCTCAGGGTTGTAGTCTGGACTGAGGCAACTCCATGGGAAGGGGGCTTGGGATGGAACTTCCACCCGAAAAGGGAGCATGGGGATTCATTGTGCATATGCCAACCACTGACCACATCATGCCTAATCAAATTTTTCCTATGCCATAGACAATGCTGTGATTTTTCCTTCTTTTCTTTTTTTTTTTTCTTTTGTTTTGTGAAACAGGGTTTCTCTGTATAGCCCTGGCTGTCCTTGAACTCAGAGACCCACCTCCCGAGTGCTGGGATTAGGTGTGCTCACAGTCACATTCCTGTTTCTCTCCAAACCCTGCCCTCAGAGAGGCCTATTTCAGAGCTGGTCTCCCATCTCTGCTCTATGAAGGAACTTTTTGTCTTGTAGAACTCACCTTGTCGTGGATTGACCATGGACAAAATCGGCATGGTTTCCTAACAGTTTGGTTCCTGCCATCCCCGGAAGTCACTGAAAATGGTCTTTCACGCTCCCAACTACAGTAGTCCTTAATCAACCTTAATCAAGCAGTTTCAGTGTGGTGGTTTGAATAGCAACAGCCCCCATAGGTTCATATATTTAAATGCTTTGTCATCAGGGAGTAGCTCTCTTTGAGAAAGACTAAGTGTGGCCTTGTTGGAGGAAGAGTGTCACTGGGGGGTGGACTTTGGGGTTTCAGCAGCCCACACGAGGCCCAGTGTTACTCTCTGCCTAGAGATCAGAATATACCCCTCAGCTACTGCTCCAGCGCCTGCCTGCATGCAGCCATGTCATGACGATAATATACTTAACCTATAATATGGTAAGCCCCCAGTTAAATGCTTTCTCTTATTAGAATTGCCTTGGCCATGGTGTCTCTTCACAGCGGTAGAACAGTCGCTAAGGCATCTAGTAAGGGAACAAGGTGGTGAGAACATTTAGGCTGTCTTCAATATAAGAGACCTCACGTGAACAGCGTCTTCCTAATGTCCTAATGCCTAATGTAATAACCAATGTTGCTGCGACCCTAGGACCTCAGGGCATCAGTTTGACGGAAATATCCAGAATGCTAATGTATAGACATGAGCTACTATATGGATTAAATAATAGCCAGATGGCTGGAGAAACATTAGGGCTATGTATATTGGGCAGGACAGTTCCAGAAGAAACTAGAATTTGAATCTATGTAAGGAAGAACTCATCAGTGGAGAGAGGTGTCATCCAGTTGGCTCAAGGCCGGGAAAGAATAAAGGGACAGAAAAATGAATCCCCAACCATCAGCTGAGACATTCTTCCCTTCCCTTGGATGTCAGAAAGGGGCCTTCAGCCTCAGACTCAAAATTATACTATTGACTTTGGACTTGGTTCCAAGTCCTTTTGACTTGGAATGAGCCCCACTACCAATTGCCCCCATTATCTGCTTGTTCGACAAGCTTATGTTAGACTTAACCTCCATGATTGCAAGAGCCAACTTCCTTAAAAAAAAAAAAAATCCCCCAACACCTTTAATGTTTCTAGCTCAGTCTCTAGCATGCAAACCAAAATTCTTCAACTGACCTCATGTCCTCAGCCGGATTTCTGTCGACCATCAGTCTTTGTATGAAACTTATCATGCTTTCTTTCTGAATTGTTCTGGACCATCTGGCAGTCCTTGATGCCAGCTGCCCTAATTGGTTTCTCTTGCTGTGATAAGCACTGACCAAAACCAATGTGGGGAGAAAAGAGTTTATTTAGCTGACAGTCCACCATTTAAGGTAAACCAAGAACTGAAGCAGAGACCATGGAAGAACACTGCCTACTGGCTCATTCCCAGGCTCAAGTTCAGCTACTATTTCTTTTTCTTCTTTTTGGTTTTTTGAGACTGGGTGTCTTTGCAGCCTGCCCTGGAACTAGCTCTTGTACACCAGGCTGGCCTCGAACTCAAGAGATCGGCCTGCCTCTGCTATCATTCTTACACACCCTAGGCTCACCTGCCTAGCAATGGCACCGCCCACGGTGGGCTGGACCCTCCTACATCAATTAGTAATCAGGAAAATGCCCGGCAGATATACCCACAGGCCAACCTGGCGGAGACAATTCCTCAATTTCGGTTCTCTCTTCCTAGGTGTGTCGAGTTGAGGACAGAAGCCAATGCAATGATAACACCAGCTGAAAACATGTCAGTCTATCCTACATCTGGATTGTGCTGCACATCACTTAGCTCGATTGTGCTGCACATCACCTGATCCACTACAGACTTTACCAAACCTTCCCTCTACCACAGTGTTAGCTAAAATGGACTGGTGTTTATTTTGTTCATTTCAATAACCTCTGGATCTCAATGTCTCAAGATCACGAAGTCTTCAGCCATTCGGTTTTAAAATCTACTCACACTCGGGCAGTAAGAAAAATAAATTTATTGAGAGTTCCAAAGGAAATTCATGAAGAAGGAAGAAGTACAGATAAGATAAAGGGGAGAGAAAGTCGGCAGGAAGTAAGCACTTCTATCTGGTGAGGCAGGACAGTCATTGACTTTATTTTCTCTGCATGTAAGATGCATTCTGGAAAGGGTTTTCTCTGCTGAAGACCCCAACACAGCATTCCCTGCCTCCCACATCCCCCTAGAGCAGTGGTTCTCAACCTTCCTAATGTTGCAGTCCTTTGATACAGTTCCTCATGGTGACTCCAATCAGAAAATGATTTCATTACTATTCGTAACTGTAATTTTGCTACTGTTCTGAATCATAATGTAAATATTTTTTGAGACAGAAGTTTGTCAAAGGGTATGAGATCCACAGGTTGAGAACCAAATTGTTCTGATCTAGAAGAACAATTTCACTATAAATCTGAATTTGTAGACACAGCCTGAGTCGGATATACCCACCCTGGCCCAGGCACCATGGCTACAGGAATAGACGGCATAGGACCAGAAAACAATATCTGCCAGCAAATGGGGCTCAGTTTCTCAGGGATACTTTGTTCAAAGATAAAACTATTCAACGGTCATTTATTAGAGTTAGGCATATTCAACCTTTTTTTTTTAAAAAATGTTTAACTTGGAAGTATCCCACCGAGAAAACTACTCCATTTTAATAATTCCATTCGAGGGAGTCTTTAATGGTTGGCAGAATTCATTTCAGTTCAATGGAGTTTCTAACCATCCCATTTGACATCGATTCCTTAAGTAATTTAACAGCACAGGCATTTGAGAAATCTGACTCAAAACAAACAAGCCTTCCCATATGTTTAAGTCTGAGTTAACATAATAAATTAAACATAAATGAATTCTCAGCAACATTTCATTATTTTTGCATCCATGGTAAAACATCAAATATTTCCCAACTAAGCAGCACAAGTCTAAGAATTCATTAGGCATTTGATTCCTGCGGCCAACATTACATATTGAAATAAGTCAATTATGTTAAAACACTTCATATAGCAAGTAATATTTTTAATGAATATAAAAGCAACCCCTAAATTGGGTGTGGTAGCACACACCTTTAATCCTAACATTTGTGAGACAGAGGTATGGATCTCTGTGAGTTTAAAGTCAGCCTGGTGACAGAGTGAGTTCCAGGACAGCCAGGGATAAACAGAGAAACCCTGTCTCAAAAAAAAAAAAAAAAAAAAACAACAACAACAAAGCAAACAAAGCCTCCTGAACATAATTGCACTAAGGATTGTGGGAAATGTCTCCTAGTCTTTTTAAGGGTTTGTGATTACTATAAATATTACACAGGAGCTGCAGCACTCTCAAAGGGAGCGAGTCCCCAGCAGGCAAGCCCAGAGCAGGGATGACAAGGAACTCAAGCTTGGGGAACTGAGTGACTTGAATTAATTCACGTTAAAAGAGAATGATTCGACACTTAACAGCTGTGACGAGAGTAAATGAAGCGATGGCCAGGAAATCCTTCAGAGCTGCACAGGGACAGCAGCTTCAGGTAGAATCCTAACTGTCGCGCAAGCCCTGCACACTTAGGAAGGTTTACTTAAATGGTTGTACTTAAGTAAGCCAACCCTTTCAACCTTAAAGCACAAGATCTCACTTGTGACTAATGTAACTACTCAAAAAGGCAAACTCCAGGTTCTCACAAGACACCATACTGCAGAACTGTTTCAGGGCACTATATACCCTATTGTTGAACTTAAACTCCAGAATATTCCAGACATATCCCCACTTCTGCTTTAAGGAATCTAAGTTTATAAAACTGAGATTATGAGTACTCATTACAAAATCTTTCCCAAGGGCTCCTTCAGCTCAGGATGCCATCACCAGACACATACTAACCTAAGTAGGACAGCTGAAGGAAGGGAGGGAAGCAATGGCTGTGGACCAGTATGCTGGTCACAAGTCACTGACTGGCCATCGGGAATTGACACACCTCAGAAAATCAAGAAGAAGAAAAGAATCTTTTTATAAAAAAATAAGGTTTACAATGAACTTTCAAAATCACAATTTTTCAAAGCAAACTGCTCCTATTTAAGGTTTAGACTCACAATACAAAGAACAGAGAAAAAGAAGAGTAGGTACAGGAAAGAGAACTGTTCTGGAGGGCTACACACACAAGACCCACTCGGAACATACGCACAGGCTGACGGGCCGTTACCGTGAGGGCAGGACAGCCGTCTCACAGACTGAGGCAGGTGAAGCTGGAGGGAAGGCAGCACAGTCAGATTTCTCTGGACTTTGTCCTGATAAGCAGACTAAAGACAACACCGTGGAGAGCGTAGTTCATAGGTAAGCAAGGACTACAACACCCTAACTATGCTCCCAGGAGCAATAGTCTATGATCTGCCACACTTGGAAGACAGTCCCACAAGCAGCTGGGGATTTGTGTGACCCAGGCCTTCAAAAATAACAGCAAAAGGGACCAAAATTCTCAGGGGCGCTGTGTACAGAGAAAGAGGTTCTTCTGTTGCTGGTAGTTCTTGATATTTCCCAGGCTAGAAGTAGAAACAAAACAAAAACCAAGGTGCTGTTCCCTTGGCAGGACTCTGCCCCATGGCAACCAAGGTTTGACTCCATTAAAATCAGTATCAACTCATTCAGGGTCGACAGACTCTGTGACCGAAACACCTAAGATCTTCCAGCAGAAGACGCCACAAAATCAACCAAAGTAATACATGGAAAACCATGTCTTGAAACAGGTACTTATTTCCTAATTATAATTAATCCAGTCTCTTCCATAAAACTCCTGTAAATTATCTCTTTGAATGTCTTGAAGATGCCATCTTCTCAGCGATTAAGAGTCAAACAACTCCCAGTTAGGAGCTCTTGTCCGCGTCAGCGGGCTGACAGAGGGACTCTGTCGTCTTCCCCTCTGGGAGCTCAGCAGGCACGTGCTCTGACACAGGGGCGCTGCCATTCCTCGTCATGGTGGCAAACAGCATGTCCATCATCCCCAAGGTTTCTAGGAGTTCTCTTTGGTAATCAATTTCTTTTTCTACAAGTCCTTGAAGTACTATGAACTTTTTATCAACCACTGGTGACTGGCCAATCACAGGCAGATATATATCTACAAAGGGACAGAAAGTACATTAACTAGAAACATTTTCTGGAGGGGAAATCAATATTCAGAAACAGTATGATACTAAAGATACTGAATACCAGTATTCTTAATAATTAAGTTGTAATCTATAAGAAGCATAACAATCCATCTAATTAAATGCATTTGAAAAGAAATAATTATATAAAATACAGGGTATGTGGTCTTATTTTCATTTTCATGTTAAAAACTAAATGACTGGGGGCTGGGGAGAGAGCTTGCTTTGCAAGCAGTTAAGATCTGAATTTGATTCCCAGAACCCATAGAAAAGACAAGAAGAAGCTGAACACCTGGCATACAACTGGAACCCAGCCCTGGGGAGGTAGAGACAGAAAGGCCCGAGGCTGGCCAGCCACCAGCTGAGCTCCACTGAGCTTCAGGTTTAGTGACAGAACCTGTTTCAGGATGGAGGAAGCCCCCGGATGCTGACATGTGGCAAACCTGAAACAGAGTATTAGGTTCAGGGCTGCAAGAAGGAATGGACCACATGAAAAGGCATGAGGGCACCAGAGTAAGTCCCAGGCAGGACCAAGGGAAATCCAGACACACTGAACTTTAGATCTGTAAATGAAACAAAGGACCCTAGCGTAAGGACCCAGAAGCACACAGGATGAATCCTCCTCATTGCGGCTTTCAGCAAAAGAGAAAAAGACCGCTTCAGTGGGCTCCAGTCACACAACCGGGCCTCTAGAGAAACAGTCAGTGGGCTCCAGTCACACACCTGGCCCTCTAAAAAGAGCAGTGACCCACGTGGCAAACATGTCCTAGCTTGCTTCCGCTTGTCATGGGAAGGAGCCATCTTATACTACTAATCTCTTCCAGCCAGGGGGGCAGGAGCCTCTGCATTTTCTCATTTCCAAACCCCAAAGGTCTCTCTACTCTACTGGGTAAGACAGTAGCTGTCACAAAAATCCATATGGACTTGGGAAATGGCTGTGACTTGGATACTACACCAGAGACAAGGACTAAACGATGAAGAGCTAGAAGTACCTCTACTTTTCACTGCAGCTGAGAGCTGCAAGAGGGAGAATAACAAACCAATCGCATGGGAATGCAAGGGAAGAAGGGGCTGCGGCAGGGCCTGGCCCGGCCAGAGCACTCAGCATCACTACTCAGCGGTAGTGCAGATGTCGCCTGCACACGTCCGCTTGGCCTGACTGCTGTCTACATTCTGAGCCCCAGACTACACAGAAACGCAGCCCCTGCGTGGTGTTTCCCACGCCCACACTGGTACTGGTAGAGTACCTCTGATGTAAAGTGGTACCCAGCCTGGTGGTCCCTAGCTCATGAGGGCGGCCTGGGGGTAGACACTGCATAACCCACACTACTGAGGCTGCCCGCAGGCGTGCAGAACTCAGCCCAGCAACAGCCACCCTCCACCTCCTCAGCAGGAAGAGATGGCTGCCCTGTACTCTTCTGTACTACACTGCTCCACTTCCTTCTCCCTCACTATGGTTGCTCACTTACATCCTAAGTACTTCTTTCTCCAATCCTGCTGCTTCTCTTTCCTTTCACTAACTTCCACTGTTTATTTTTAACTTGGCTGAGCTTTAAATTCCTAGCTAACCCTATCACACCCTCGGGCCTCACACTTCCCTCCTTCCTGGGGGTACAGTTGTTCTCGGGTGGTTTGCTATATGTAAATATGGGTTTGGCTCTCAGCCACTACTGCAGGCTGCTGTCTTTATGTGTGTAGCGGGCAGAGATGTGAAGCAAAGGTCTCCCTCCATACAGACTCCGCAGCGATGTTCATCCCAAGGTATGCGGTCACAATGGAGAACAGAAGACAGGCGGAGAGAGCAGTGTGCGCCCTCCACAGGGCACTAACTCTTCATCAGGTGAAGGAAGTAAACAGTCAGACCAAAGACACTGACAAGGAATTCCTCAGAGAGACTCTAAGGAAAAACCAAATGGAAACCTTGGATATGAAAGATCCAATAAATCAAATCACAGTGGAAAACATTTGGATTAAGTCAAGCAAGAGAAGATGGGAGATTGTGGATTGAGGAATTATCACATCCATTATATACACTGTCAACAACCAAAGCAAATACAGTCAGAGCTTTCAAGAACTTTGGGGCATGACAAAGGAAAAAAAAATCCAAGAGTCTTTGCTGTAGAAGCATATAGAATCTAGGCAATGAAATTGAAGCAGTAAATTTCAAAATCCAGGGAAAGATACAGACATCCAAATACAAGGGCATTCAAACCCTAAACACACATCCCCAGAAGAGCCCTTCTGTGTCATACTACAGCTAGCATGGAACTGAACACCACACAGACCGAGGTGAGCTCAGCACTAGAATCAGACCTTCTCAGAAAAGCAAGGGAAACAGGAAGTGATGTCAATCCTAAGAGGAATAACTACTAACCAAGAGAATTACATCCAGTGAAGCCACCTTTAAAACTGACGGAGAGGGTAGAAGAGCGAACCATGGCCACTAAACCAGTGCCAAGACGACGCTGAAGGAAAGCCACAATCACAGGAGCTTGAGAGAATACATATCAAGAGAAAACAGATGAGCAAAAGAGATTAGGAAAGAATCAGAGTTTTAAATCCAATAAACCAGCAAATCAAAGATGAATGGATAAGGAAGAAAAGAACAAGGACGAGATAGGGGAACACAAGAATCTTATAGGAACTAGCACACGCCTCTCAGTTCTAACCCCAAATACAAACTCTGGCTTTCCTTCTCCAACTGAAGCATGCAGACGTAGCTGTGCATACACAGTGGCACATGCCTTTAATGCCAGCAGTTGGGGCACACACCTGCCCATACACACATTCATGTAAGTCATATAAGAATGTACAAATCCACCACCATTACAGATGTTCATGGGAAAAACTTTCTTAAAATTAAATTAGGTAATTATCCTAGTCCAACCAATTCAAATCTGCCATTGTAACATCTTACTACATTTTAATTGTACCTGTACCCCTAGGTTTTGTTTCAGGTTCTTTAATCTTTTCCAATGCTGAGGCTCAAGCTCAGGAGCCTGCACATGCTGGCAGATGTTCTGCTGCTGAGCTCTCAGGCCCGGCACCGCGGCTTTCCCAAGCACGCTGGAATGTCTCTCTTACAACTACTCACCAATGATTATCTCAGCAGCGCGAATCAAAACAGGGGCAAATCTCGGCTGAGACAAATTCCTACAAAGCAAAACTTTCGATTAATGAGTCTTGCTAGGCCTGTCCCTGGCGCTCAAGCTGGCTTTTGGGAACCCATTCCCCATGCTGAGTTGCCTCGCCCAGTCTTGATGCATGGGGAGGAGCTTGTCCTGCTTCAACTTGACGCTTTGTTGACTCCCATGGGAGACTGAGGAGGAGTGGATGGGGGAGGGGGGAAACAAGAGGAGAGGAAGGAGGAGAAACTGTGGTTGGAATGTAAAATAAATGAAAAAATGTAATTAATAATAAAAATAAATAAATTAAAAAACAAAAAAAATCCCTCAAACAAACTTTAATTGTTCTACCAGTTCTCTGTAAAGAGCAAACTAAACATGGTGTCTCTCACTGGGTAGTAACGGAGGACTTCAGCCGCAAAACCCAAGTCAAGCATACCTTATCAAAAAGTTCAGAACCCGGGTAATCTCCTTCTCATCCCGACCTGCAAGAGCATTGGCAAGGACTCCTCTCCGATTCAATTCCTTTATGATGGAAACTGTAACCTCAGGCGTCTTTATTACACAATTAGGCTAGAAAATATTTAGAGTCAGTACAGTCAAAAAGACAGACGAGAACGATCACTACCCTGCACTAAACTACCCAGCTTATCTTCACAATCCCAAGTCACAGCAAATCAAACCCATCGTCAAGATGGCTCCCCCACGTCCTTTCCCTTTCTGACAGGGTCTCACTTTACAAGCCACAGCAGGCCTTTAGCCCAGCTTGACATGTGATTTGCCTACCTCAGCCTCCCAAGTGCTAGGCAAGAGCCATAATACCAGAGACTATTTTTGTTTTGTTTTGTTTGAGACAGGGTTTCTCTGTATAGTCTTGGCTGTCCTGGAACTCACTCTATAGACCAGGCTGACCTTGAACTAGAGATCCGCCTGCCTCTGGATCCTGAGTGCTGGGATTAAAGGCGTGCGCCACCACCACTCAGCTAGAATGATTCTTCAAGAGCTCCTCACTAGCTAAGCATGGCAGCGTACACCAATGGTCTCAATGCTGGGATAGACTTTTTATCACCTGACACAAGCCAGGGTCATCTGGGAAGAGAATGTCAATTGAAAAATGCCTCCATTACACTGGCCTGTAGACAAGACTATGGGAGTATTTTCTTGATGTGGGTGCCCAGCTCACTGTGGTGGTGTCACCCCTGGCAGGCGGTTCTGGGTTGTTCAACAAAGCAGGCTGAGCAAGCCATGAGAACAAGCCAGTAAGCAGTGCTCCTCCATGGTCTCACTTCAGCTATGGCTTCCAGATCTCTCTGCCTTGAGATGCTGTCCTGACTTCTAAACCTCCTAAAGGACTGCAAACTCTTTTCCTGCCCAGGCTGCTTTGGTCACAGTCTTGACACAGCAAAGGAAGCAAACTAAGACACATATGGTCTCAATAAGATGGACAACAATTGAAGCAAACACCCAGCATTGATCTCTGGCCTTCCCACATGCATATACATGACCCTGCCACAAATACACAAACAAAATTAAAATCTAGTTAAGTGAAAGGAAAATGTTTCTCACTTACCTCAAGGACTCTGTCAAGTGCCTTTGATATTCGGAAACTTTTCAGGTCCCTGTCATAACATTCTAGGTGCTTCTTTGCTGGCCTGTTGATCATGATGTCATCCTGAATGAAAAAGCAAATTTACAGAGTAAGAAAATTACTATCTATACAGTTCCATTAAAATAAATGTTTTCCATCAGAGTTGGCCCTGGCGATATGAGTGAGGGGGACCCAGATCTGAGGGCCCAAGAGCAGGAGAGCTTGCTACAGCTCCTTGCTGTAGGCTGCATTGGGTGAGCTAGCCAAGGCAGTGCCGAAGAGCTCCTCCGGGTTGAGAAAACGAGGCAAAGCCAGCGAGCTGACCAACCCAGCTACCATCCAGGCCTACCAGGCCTATGAGTTGGCCCACCCCAGCATCCACCAAATCTATAAACTGTTGGAGCATGTGAAGGGGATGAAACTACAGATCTAAAACAGCAGAATCTCCATGACACAGGACAACAAGATATCCAAGAGGAGTCCCAAAGACAGCCCATTAATGATAGTGTAGCAGAAACCAGAGGCCTCAAGCCACATCAATGACTCATGGCAATGAACACTTGCAAGTAAAGATAAACAGACTAAACAGTAAACTGTGTGTCTCAAATGGCCACACTACAATTTCCATGACAAGATTCTCCCTTTTTTGTTTTTGTTTGGTTTGGTTTTCTTTTAAATTTGGCTTTGTTTTGGGGGAGGTTGCAAGAGCAGGGGATAGGGAGGTAAGTAGGATCAGAGTGTATGATGGGAAATCCACAAATAATAAAAGTAAAAAATATATATATAAATAAAAATAAATGTTTTCACAATAAAGTGAAACATTTTAAAGTCAGGCTGTTTTTACAATACACAACAAATAATGTTCCTGTGTAATAATAATAGTAATAATCATAATCATAATCCAAATGATATACTTTGCCATGTTAATGTGCTCTTATGATGTTTAGCTTATATATATATGTAAGTGGTTCTATTCTGAGCAAACTTACTCAAAAAAAAAAAAAAAAGATGAATAAGCAGGCAGTATGGCTGCATATAAAGAGGAGAAAACAAGTTGGAGACTCGGATCTAGCTAGTCACAGCTCTGGTGACCTCCTGGGCCACCGAACTTTACACTAAGTCCCTCTCCAGTCCTAGGGAGACATTACAGCCACACGCGGTTTACAGGACAAATCCGACACTATTCTGAAGATGGCAAAACACTGTATTAGTTCATGACTGAGGATATTAAGTAGGCAATCCCTGCTTCCCATCATTCTTCAATAATGCATTATAGCAATCTGGAACCAACTTTGATGGAAAAAGAAGCAAAATAAATGTACGTATTATGAATCATACTTTGCAGTAAATTCCAGGAATGAGTGAAATTGACGCTTCTAAGAAATGTCAATATTTTAAAAATAAAAAATACATACTTACCTGTTGCTTCATGTAAATCTTTCCTTTAATAAAAGTTCGATATGCAGGCCTCCTTCTCGGGAGCGACTCCTTCTTTGACTCTGACTTCCGGTGTCTGACGCTCAGGATCCCATTGGTCATCCCCACAACGATCGTCTCGTCTTCATGCTGACGGTGATCAGAGAGATCAGTCTATCTTACACAAACATCCTATAGAACCTTTGACTCAAAACAGCACTTATACCATGTCTGCTACTTCTTACCCAGTTCCAGTCAATGCAGACACTCCTAACTACGATCTACCCACAATGTTATAGGAAAACCACTTTTCTCCAGGTCCACCGTCAGGACGGACCTCACCCCTACAGCACTGCCAGTGAAGCGCGTGGGAAGAGAGTGCTGACGTCGGCTGCTCGTGCTAGTAAGACGCTGGTGACCTCCTGACCAGTGTCTATGGACTCGGAGTGGAAAAAGGGCTACACAGGGGCATGGCTCTCATAAGCTGACTCCCCACAAGAGCTTCTCTTGACTTTTCCTCTCCAGCTTGGACTTCCCATATAACATTTCAGGTATCTTCTGGCCCAAATGTGGCTCCTCATGAAACCTAACAGTGAACATTCCAGAAAGCACAGTGCTCACTCAGCTGCCCCTGCCCTCTCTGCCTTTTCTGGGGCCAACCTGCCATTCCTGGGCTCTGTAACACCTTGAGTTTGTTGAAGGAAGAGTTAACAACATCCTAGTCCAGCCTCGGTGTTACCATGACAGCAGTCAGTGCCACCACGTGGGAATTCACAGTTATCAGAAAACATCACCTCCTAGCAACTGTCTTGACTCAAGCAACTAATGTGCTTTATTAAATCCAAAGGTGACCCCAAAGATCCCGCTCTACTTTTACTTCATGGGCACGGTGTGGAACAACTCGAGAAGAGCTGAAAGTACGTACAGAAAGTGCCAGACTCAAGATGGAAGCCGTGTAGTCATAGCTGTGGACGACCTTGTAGGAAGTCGTGCTGTAGACCTTGACTTTCCTGGTGAGAAAGAAAAGTTTTGTCAAGTACCTCAGAAATGAGTGAAAACACCAAGTTTCTGTTTGTAGCAAACTATATAAATATGAAAATTTACACAGTCAAACTGGATGCTTGCTGTTAATCCCAGCACATGGGAGGCAGAAGCAGGAGGATCTCTGTAAGTTCAAGGCCACCCAGGTCTACAGAGCTAGTTCCAGGATACCTAGGGCTACAGAGAAACCCTGCATTGAAAAATAAATAAATGAATAAATAATAAAATAAAATTTACACAGTCCAGAAAAATACTGATGTAATACTAATTGCAAAGTACTTCATCACCAAGTTCCTTGAAAAGCTAACTATATTCTATCACTAGCCAGGTTTGAGTAAAAACTAACTAGGAGTTTATAAAAGAAACCAAAAGACAGACCATAAGTCAATGTCACCTGAAGATAAGTCACAGGAATAAAACAAAGGATGAATGAATTTGCACAGTAAGCCACAAGGCAGGCTTCCAGGGCCAGCACAGCCCTCTGCTGGTACAGAAGCTGCACCCCTGGCCCCCTCCCCTGCACAGCAGTAACACTGCAAGACTTTTCCTAACCGCAGGGAAGAAGTGGCAGCCTGGAGACAAAACGACTAACAGTAAAAAAGGAAACCCTACAGCCTGTCAGTACCAGCCACAGGTGGTACTGCACCCGACTGTAGCTACAGAAAAGGAGGTAAGTTTTAAAACCACAGAAATGTTTAGATAATATTATACTATGGTGTATATTTTAGAGACAAAATTCACTTCTAGCATCCTACTAAGTAAACTGATTACATGTTGAAAGACAGTTCATATATTATGCATTTTACTTTTACATTAGATAACGGACTATATAAAATATGTTAGTAAAAGAAATTTTTGTAAGACATGCAATGTTATTGCTGTGCAGGGAAGGGCTGTGCTGGCCTTGAAACCCTACCTTGTGGCTTACTGTGCACATTCATTGTTTTGTTTTCGAGACAGCGTTTCTCTGTGTAGCCTGGCTAGCTGTCCTGGAACTCGCTCTGCTCGAACTCAAAGAGATCCACCTGCCTCTGCCTCCCGAATACTGGGATTAAACGCATGCACCACGATGCCTGACTTTTTTTTTAACTTCTTTTAATGTGGCTACTAAAGCATTTAAACTTACATATGCAGTCTGCATTATGAGTTTGTTCAACAACAATTTTAGAACATCAAAAGTAGAATACTCAAATTGACTATTTAGATGACTTTTTAGGGCTAGGGACAGAATGAAGGGCCTTGCACAAGCTAGGTTCTATTTAAAATCATAGTACTCACACCACATTAATGCATAGAAATAATCACAGGACGTTTGAAATTTTGTTTTGATTTTGAGGCAGGGTCTCTCTGTAGCCCTAACTGTCCTGGAACTCACCATATAGACCATGTTGGCCTTGAACTCATACTGATCCACCTGTCTCTGCTTCCCAAAAGCTGGGATTAAAGGCATGGGTCACTACTCCCAGCTGCAGTATTATGCTTTAAAGAATGTAACCCAGAATGAAATATATCCTCAGAATAAAAATTTCAAAATACATATGTATATATAAAATGACTTTAAAAGAAACTATAGGAAAATAAGCTATTTCAAAAGATCAGTGTTCAAGTGGGTAAGCAATATTGTTCTAGTGTATAAGCTAAAGCATGAGATAATTTATTTCTGGGGAAATACAAGAAGTTATATGTAAATAAAAGATGAAACTATTTCAACCATCAGAACATTTTTTTAACCACAAATACTGCTAAAAATAACTCAATTTCTCAAGCAGTAAGTGCTAACAATGACACACAAGAAAACTAGAATGCTACCTGTCCAGTGAGCCGGAGAGCAACCTCTGTCCAGAGCTGCTCAGACACAAACATGTCACAGTCTTATGATGATTCTTCAAGGACACGAGCAACTGTCCTCCTTTTAACATGTCCCAGACTTTGACATAACGACCGCCTGCGGAAAGAAGTAACCGCTGTGTGACAGTCTGACTACGTGCTAAGAATGATGGAGCTCTGAGAAGCACCTCCCTGAGCTAGGCAAAGCTTCTGGAGTGGTGTGTGGTAGGAATCCCTCCTCACAGAAGCGTTAGCATGGCTGAGTTACTGCTTATCTCAGGTCCAGCAGAACAAATAGGGAACTGAAAATATTCCAAGTAAAGTACAGGAAGCTTGCTGAGGAGAATGCTGGGCCTGTGAGATGGTTCAGGGGTAAAGGCCCTTCCCACCAAGCCTGATCCCTGGGACCCACACGGTAGGAAGACAGGTGGCTCATCGAAGTTGTCCTTTGAACACCACTCATGCATATATGTACATATGCACACATGTACACACACACACACATACACACTAAAAAAAATTTAAGGACTACTGTACAGACATGGAAATCAATAATATAGATACTACTTCCTAAAAATTTTATAAACCCCCACAAAGACTCAGTAATTTACTCAAAGAATCAAAAAAGGTAATAAAAGGTAACTTAATCTTATGATTTAAAAAATATATTTTTAGAAGCTGGAGAGATGGCTCAGCAGTTAAGAGCACTTGCTGCTCTTTCAGAGGACCTGGGTTCAGTTCCCAACAACCACATGCTAGCTTACAACCATCCATAAATCCAGTTGTATGTGACACCCTCTTCTGAACTTCAAGGACACTGAGTGATGTGGTACACAGACATACACATAAAATAAGTTGTAAATACTTTCAATAAAACACCAAGTATAGCAGGGTGGTGGTGGCGCATGCCTTTAATCCCAGCAATAGGGAGACAGAGACAGGTGAATCTCTGAGAGTTCGAGAACAGCCATGGCTACACAGAGAAGCCTTGCCTCAAAAAAAAAAAAAGAAAGAAAGAAAGAAAAGAAGAAGAAACAAAAAACAAAAACCATCAAGTAAAAGTCTAATAGGAGACAGTGGAAATGGAGTGTGTAGAGGAGAATATTGCTCTCATCTACCCTAGTCCTAGTCGAGGCACTGGGCCAATGCTCAACTCAATGCCCACCTTCCCGTCTGCATGTGGCAGCTTATGAGGAGCACAGTGTGCAATCCTCCTCTAATACAGCTCCTCCTCCTCAGGACGCCAGGGTGGTAAGGGGCTGCCCAAGACATAGCTGGTGGCACAGGTTTCCACCCTCCCCATTCAACTTGATTTTGTTTCCACTTCTCAAAACAAGAAAGAATCACGTCTGACAATGACATTAAAAAAAAAAAAGTTTTAAGTCAAACAAGTATGAAAATATGTATAAAACAGATTTTAAAAAAGAAATATGAAGCTACAAAGTGCAGGTAAATACATTCTCAGATATCAACAGTTCTGCTTTACTGACAAATGAAAAGGTCAAACTACTTCTCCCACTATATAAAAATTCACTTTAGTAAACACATCAAAACCTGGCCAACTCCACTCTGTCAGAAAAGCATCAAGCTCGGCCTATTTCACTGTACATCTGTCCTCTCCAGCATGTGTACTGTTTGCAGAGTTACAGGAAAGGAGATCAGCACGACTCCAGACCCAGGGAAGGCGGCCAAAGCTATGCAGCTTTCTTAGCTGGAGTAACAGCAGGGACAGAGAGCAGACTCGCGTGCTCAGACGGGACACACATAGTACCTAGTAAATTCTCATGCCCCAGGACTTAGGGCCTGCCACTTACCATGCTGCCTTGGATAAATTAGCTGATGCTTTCATTATTTCCTTAATTATTTCTTTCTGTTTTGTTTTTGTTTTTTGAGACAGGGTTTCTCTGTAGCTTTGGAGCCTATCCTGAAACTCACTCTGTAGACCAAGCTGTCCTTGAACTCACAGAAATCCACCTGCCTCTGCCTCCCAACTGCTGGGATTAAAGGCATGCGCCACCACTCGGCATTATTTCCTTAATTATAAAATAGGATGCTACCTACCCGGGAGGACTGTCTAGCATTAAACAACAGCACAGGGCCAGTGCAGATCGGACACAGGAAATGACCGTTTCTGGCCCCTCCCACTTGTCAGCTGAACAAATACTGAGACATGAAATTCAAGAAACACCAACAATCTACAAATGAAAACTCAAAAAGAAATATCTAATCTAAACAACAGTGGTGAAAGCTATTTTGAGAAATGATACCTGAAGACACCAGAAGACCTCCAGAGGGGAAAAGCAGGACACTCTCCACTGGCTGCCCGTGCTCGACACAGAGAACATTTTTATTTGTCCGGGCATCAAACATCTTCACAGTGTGATCATATGACCCTGAAATGTAAATGTTTGTATTATGTGAATTTTGCTCTTTATAACAATATAAAAAGTTTGTCTATCCACATACTAAAACTAAAAGGAGAAAAACATTATATGAGATTTCTTGAAAATGCACACAAAATTCATAAAGTGAGTACTTCCAAGCCTGCTCCTACCGTTTCTAATCACACAGCAGTATGTGCTGCTCCACAGAACCCGCCTCCTGTCACCATGTCACCATCTGAGAATCTGTACAAAGCCGCACAAACCGGGCTCCAGCCACACTGCTGCAGCTGCTGGGGCTCTATACCGTGAGCCCACTACAACCCGTCACCTAAGATGCTGTCAAGCAGCTGAAGGTATTCTCAAATGCATTTAGAGGGAACAAAACCCACTATCAAGAGAATAAAAAGAAAACAAAAAGAATTGACTTTATTCAAAACCACAAATATTTTTTTATGGTGCTGAGAATTGAACCTAGGGTCTCATGTATACTAGGCAAGTGCTCTACCACTGACCGCCATCTATTAAAGAAAATGTAAATCCCTCCACCCTAAAGAATCTACAGCAATAAAGTAGAAGCGATTACTAACCTGTTACAAAAAGGTCTGGGTTCAGTTTGCTAGCACAGCCACACCTCACATAATCAGAATGCTCTTTGAATGTCAGAATTTCTTTGGAGTTTGGAATATCCCATAATTTAACTGTATAATCATCAGCTCCAGAGACCACATGATACTTGTCAGCTGTAAAATCTACCGTATGAACTGCTCTGAAAGATCAAAAGTTAACAGATTACAGAAAAGGGAAGAACTCTGCTGCTTGCATCTTCTAACATAAAATGTTCCTTCCTAGGTTTAAAAAAAAAAAAAAACAAAGGAAACAAGCAAAGAGTCCCAAGGCCAGCAAGATGCTCCCTGGGTCAAGGCCTTGCTGCCAAGTTTGATGGCCTGAGCTCTGTCTCTGGGAGCACCATGATAAAAGGAGAGAACAACTCCTGAATGTGTCCTCTGACCCCCTCAGGCATATGCACATCCAAACACACACAAGAAGTAAGTAAACACTTAATTTCAGAAAATAGAAAAGATTTATAGAAGAAAAAATAAGAGTAAAATAGGTGTTTGTATGTAAATGTAATGTGATGTTCCAAAGTGTAATACCATGTTACTACTAACAAGGTTAACAAGAATATTACATAAGAGAATACAGTCATTGGTGAAACAGGGTTCTAAATGCTGCAACAAAGGCAATTTTTAAAAGTTTTTATTTTTTTTACTAATTTTATAGTATGTTTTATCTGCATGGGTGTCTGTGCTCTACACGCATGCCTGGTGCCCTCAGATGTCCTGGGACTGGGCTTATAGACCGTTGTGAGCCACCATGTGGGGGCTGGAAATTGAACCTCTGCAAGAGCAGCGAGGCTTTAGCCACTGTGCCACCTCTCCAGCTCTGCACAGGTGCACTTTTTAAAACATAACAAAGAGCTCTTTGAAAAGACTTGAGAAAGACTAGCTAGGAAGAGTTTCTGTTTTGAGTGTTTTTCAATGATGGGTCCAAACAACCTGACAGTTTGCAGTTTAAAAAAGAAAATAAAAAGAAACACTTCGATAGTTTAAATCAATAGCAGATTTCAGCAATGACTCTAGTGATCCTGAAACAAAAGTCAGAAACCTGAATTTATCAAGGGGCAAATACCAGAAATCAAAGAAAACAAAACCAAGGCAGCATGACTTCAGCTGAGAGGGCCTGAGCCAGCCGAGCCGACAGGATCACTAGAGCTGGAGGGCAGCTGTTAGACCAGTGGTTCCCAGCTCCAGCTGGCCACAGGGCCAACTGAACCTCCTGGACAAGAGCACTTTCTAAAGACACACAGCCCTAGAGCAGTCACAAGCTCTAGGAACCGAGGTGGACCGCAGGTTAAGTTCTTTCTCTGGGAAAACAGGAAACAAAGTACCTACCATAATCTTCGCACAGCCAATGTGTTTATCAAAAGCACGGGGCAGAGCGCTCAGGAGAAGAACAAATGAAAATAAAAACACATCAAACTGGCTCTTACTTCGTATGGCCTTCAAACTGCCTGAGGGGAGCCCTCCCACTGATATCAAAAAGTTGAACGATGCCATCTTCACTGCCAGCGACGAGCAATTGGCCATCCTGTCGAAAAGTAGCACAGTATGCTGTGTCCTTAAAGCGGGAAAAGGTTTTTATGGGTTCCTGAGAGTACCGGCCATAAATGTGGATCTGTAAGACAAAAAGCAGCACTTCACTAGATGGCCCGAGCTCAGCAGTACATCCTACACCAAGAACAAAGATGCTCACTGTTGTACTTACTCTCGAAGAAGCTGTGACTGCGTAGTTATATGGAGGCTGAGGAGAAAAGTGCACTTTGGACACTGCACCAAATTCCTTAATCTGAACAGGAGTCTTAATGAAAAACAAGAGAGTATTGGCAGAGTTAAAAATGCGAGCCACACTTAAGAATTACGCTATTTATCCTTCAGATCGTTTCCTTTTGTTCTTAGTACCAATTAGTGGGTTGAGTTTAGAGAAATATGAGGAAAAGAGGAAGGGTAAAGAGACAGGAAAGGGTGAAACAAAAACCATCCTGCTGCCCATCCCAGACTATCCCTTTGACACTGTGGAAGATAAGCGCAGCTGGAGAGCCACATCCCACTGTCTCAGCGCTGACTTTACTCCGATGCCCAAGAGAAAGAAGAGCTAAGCAACTATGTATCTAGCAACTATGATTCTAAGTTAATAAAAAGATGACCAGACCATTTAAACAGATCTACATCTTTCTGCACCCACTAACCCACCTTAGCAATCTCTGCATATAAGCAATAAATTTACCATCCATTTTTATAAAGATACACCATAATTTACAGAGTCAGTCCACGCCCATTGGATAAATCAATAAATATTTTTACATGTCTTAGTAAACTTTTGAAAGTATGCTATGCTTTAAGACATGAGTACAAAGCAAAAACAATGTTTTTATAAAATCATAACAGCTACTGTTAATTCCCTCCTCCAATTTTTTTCTATGTCAATATAAAAGAATCAACAGTATCTAAACTGTTATCTTATTTGGTTTTATCTTGTGGGTTTTTAAATTTTATTTGTATCTATGTGTACATGTATATCTGCTCGTCTAAATGTGTGAAATGCCTGCTGAGGTTGGAAAAAGATACTAAATCCCCTGGAACTGGAGTTAAAGGCAACAATAAGCTGCCCAATGTGCTGGGAACTGAACCCAGGTCCTCTGCAAAGGCAGCAAGTGCTCTTGATTTCATGTAGCTGAGACTACCCTCTACCTCCCTGAGTAACTAAGGATGACTCTGAACTTAGCATCCTGCCTCCACCTCTCAAGTGCTGGGATTACAGGCATGGACCACTAAATAGGTTTGTGCAAGGATGGAGGTTGAACCCAGGGCTTCACGCATGCCAGGCAAGCATTCTACTAACCGAGCTACAGCTTTTTTAGTCTGTGAGTAAGGCTCAGTCTCTTTATATTTTTATTATTAGATTATATTCATTTTTCACAAACCTCCTAGTTCTAAACTTTTTCTAGTTTTCTAGGTTCTCAATTTAAACAAAACTAAACAAAAAACATTCCAAGTCTTATTACAAAGTACAGAGAAGGTAACTTCAGAGTAAGAAAAAGCAGGAAGGCCTAGAGTTTCATTTGCCATTACACACATGTCCTGTGTTAAGTATCTTCATGGTTAATATAATTAAGTGGTATAGACTTTTACATGAAAAACTAAGAAAAAATTGATAACAAATTATCCACCTAAACTATTAGTTTAGTTAACTGTTCTGCCAGCATAAGCTGGAGAAACTGACATAAACAGATAAAGAAATATCCAAACTCCCTCCTCCCTCATTTCCTTTTGTACTTTACCCTATAATTGCTCCAGTACAGAGTGTCTTGGGTGATTTTTTCACCAAGTACAGGATATGTCTGAATCGCTACAGGTTTATAACCGGCCATGATTTCATATAGTTGGGCTGTTGTCCAGGGGTCAACAGTCTGGAACTGATGTCAGGGTAACGGCAGGACTCTGGCTTATGTCTGGAAGAAGAACATATTTTAAAGCACATATTGTTTATAAATGTCCACAACAAGTATGAGTTTCCTTCCACTTTCTTTCAAAAGGCTGTATGGAACTTCATAGATTAATGACCAATAAATCATTTCATTGAAACCCTAGAAGAGAGAGACACTTGAAAAATATAGACCGGGTACCACATCGCACCATCTGTACATATTGGCTGTACATGTATGTTCTCAAACCTCCAAGACCAGTCTGTAACTCTTGAGAAAAAATATGACTCAACCTTCCAAGAGTCAAACCAGAAAAGCATGCAGACCTAGAATACTCATTTCCTTGGCAAAAGAAATAATATAGAATTAGAAATATAGTTATCTCTACAGACTTGACTTCCTTAAAAAAAAAATGTCAAGAAGGAAAACAAAGCTAATATTTTAGTGTAGACACTTACAATGAATTTAGAAATAATCTTCTGGCAAAAGACATAAAATTAAATGTTAAAAGGTTTAAACTGTAGGATAGAAAACTGAAATAGAATAAACTCAAAATGGTAGAATAAGATTTAAAAAATGAATTCAAGCTCTTTACATGCAATGACACCAAAGCATCTTCTGCGAAGCACCCAACTGAAGATAGCCAGGTCTACCAGATGAATGGGTTCAGCGATGCTACTTTCCATCCACCCTGAAAAGCCTGCAAAGACGCCATCAGTAGCACCGAAACAAATAGTATGACAGGCTCTGACTGCTGTTTTGATGCAGCAAAGCAAACCAAAATTCAAGGGAAAAACTTTTCTATTCAGTAAAACACCTACGATGTACAAGAGAGTATTCAAAACACTGGGAATGCCAGGACAATATACAGACATGATCTATACCTTCAACTGCTCGAAATGACTGGGCCTATCAGGAGTCTAGACTTAGCTTTCTTCCCCATTCCTATGACTCAGAAACATCAAGGTCTCGTCCCTCAGCGATTTTCTTGTGTGCACGTGTGTGTGCAAAGCTAGAGTCTTTCTCTATGGCGCTGCACCTTATTTCTGAGACAGCATAAACTCACCAACTGACAATACTGCTGAAAGAGCGAACCTGGTTAGCAAGTCTGGGGATCCTTCGGTCTCTGCCACCCAGCACTGGGATTTTAGGCACACTCCAAGCCCCCCTTTTAACCTGGGTGCTCAGGATTTGACCCCACTATAGTTCACTAAGACATCTCCCCAGCCCTTAATCTCGCAAATATTTCTAAATCTGAATTCCACTTAACCCGAGTTCAATTGCATTAACTCGTGTCTTTTTGATTACGAAATAGAAGCAATGCCATTTGAAAGTCTCCTGGACTCCCGTATCAATCTTCCAAATAGGTACCAGTGTCGCTACAAAACTGATCATCACCCAGAAAATGAAGGCTTAGCAATTCTTAGCATGCAAGGTTCCGTTTGCTCTGGCCCTCTTTAAGCGTCACCTCTTGCTATTACCAACTGTTTACAGTTCACTAAACTCAGCACTCTCATTCCTTCTGACTTCAGCATGTGCTCTCGACCAGGATGGCTCTTTCTCCATCCACCTCCTATTTAAGATCGCCACAGGAAATCAGACTGTCCTTCAGAAATTTCTTTCTGCCTTCTGAGACTGGGAGCTCTCTCCCACGATCCTTTTTGGTTCTATTTCTATAAGTGAACATAGTCACACTGCATTGTAATGGTCTCTTTTTTCCAGTTAAATAAAACAGTATACTGGAAGTATTTGTTTGGAAAAATGCTCAAACGATGATTTTTTTAGAAGGGGGTGGGAGCATCGTGCAAATTCCTATTGGAAAATATAAAATCAAAATCAACAGTGGTTTATAACAAGAACAAAACTGTACAGCAAGTATTCAAAAACACTTTCCATCAAGGGCAAGACGGTAAATATTTTAGACTTGGCCAACAAACAAGCAAATACATACATTTCATATAATATATATTAATATAGTTAATGACTTACAAGAAAAATTTACAGTGTTTACAGTAGGTTTCCCCAACAATCACAGATACAAATATTCTTTGATGTTGTCGTTGTTGTTTGTGAAAGAGTAGAATTCTTTGAGGTCAAGGGCTACTTCATTTAATTCCAAGCCAAATTCACTCTACATAGGGCAGAATGTTTACCTGTTAAAAAAAAAATTTTTTTTTAGTTCACTAGATAAACAAAAACAGGCACTGGAATAGATTCAAGGAAGAGTACCTCGTAAGTCTATTTTTTTTTTTCCAAGAAATAAAAGCGTCTGGAGGAAAGAAGTGAAAAGCAGCGGTGACCTGCTAGATTGCAAAAATGAAGAACGGCGTTGGTGGGACGTGTGCGGGAGGACCGTGCAAACAAATAGCGAGATGTCATGACAACGAATGGAAGAAAACTGACTGGGCCGAAGCCACAGCCTAAGAAAACTGAGGTTCACTGAACAACAGGCATTATTAAAACACAAGGTGTGATCAAATAAACTGTAATTAGAGCAGTGAGAACACAGAAAAGGAAGCTGTTTAATTCCACCTGGAAAGAGTATGCCGGTTCAGCGGGGTCTATGAGCATAACAAGACACGATGGCATCAATGGAGCAGGGCGCAGGGCAGAGGGAGACGAATACCCAGCCATTCTCAAATCACTAGGACACAATTCTGTCCTTGGTTTTGGAGTAGAGCAGGTTACTCCAGGGACTGTCAGCGGTAGCTAGGAGAGCGACTAAAGAGAAACAAAACCTGGGCGAAATTAAATCGCAAGGACCCTCGGAGACAGGTAAGTTCAGTGATCTTCTGCGGAGCCAGGGCTGCATGTCCAGCATGTCAGAGATCACAGTGAGACCTGAGCAAGCCTGCGCCGCCACCGGGAACCACCATCGCCTACCTCTGCGGGGCCCCGTGGGTCCGCCGAGGCACCCCGATTCCCGTGACGACTCCCCTGACTTCGCCAGCTCCCTACAGGAGATGTGTCTGAAACACTTGCTCAAACTCACGCGGACGATCCAGGAGCCGGAAACGCACAGGCGCAGGAGTGCGTCGCGGGCAGATGACGTAATGGCGCATGTGCAGAGGCGGTGCGCGACACAGAACAAGAAAGAACGCTGGTAGGTGGAGCAGTCGGGGAGGGACCCTGGGCCTTTCTCGGGTGACCCGGAACCGAGGGGACCCTTAGTGCTCTGAGAGCCTGGGCTGCCGAGCGCAAGGGAAACAAGTAGAAATCCCCGGAAGTCGTCTCGTTTACGCTGAATGCTCTGGGCTTTTTCCAGAAGAGGAAAAAAAATAGGAAGTGACGTCTGAGCCCGAAGCAGGCCGGGCTTGCGGGTCTTTACCGATCCGCTGCTGGCCCCGGCCGGACCGGAGCGTCGCCTGCGGTCTGGGTGGTCTTGCCACCCGCCGGACGGTCCCCTGTTCCGGGATCCGCTAGCCACGCGAGAGCGAGCTCAGCCCGCGACGACAGAGCGGGAACGCTCTCCGGGACACCTGTCGCTTGTGAGACAGCTTTCATTTAAAATATATATAGCACCTTTGTCCTCTCGTAGGACAATTTCAAGAGTTAGGAAGAACGCGGAGCCCCTGCGGTTAGCTTCGCCGGGGTCGGTGCCCACTGCCCGCGTTTAGACTCCCTAAGCTTCCCTGAGCTCTGGCAGGTGAGCCTATCTACCCTTTTATGTTAACTCTTTCTCGTCATCTGTCATTTCGTTTTTCCCTCTCCTGCATTTCATATTTTGACATATCAACGTCTTTGCTTCTCCCTAGAGTAGAGTCTAGATAAGCGTTCCCTCTGCATTTGCTGTTCTTCCTTCAAAGACGATAATTCCGTATGTTGAAACCTTGACTTGTCCTGTAGGGGCTGCAAAGAAAATTAAAGATGGTTGTTTTTACTCGATTTTATAAATGATAGAGTCTCGGGAAATTTATACAATTTGTGTTCCAGCACATCTGATTAGTGCGTGTTGAGAATGGAGAACCAGATCCAATTAGAAAAATGTGAAAAAGGAAATGTTAAAAAAAAATGTTGAAATTAAGATCAGAAAACATGGAGCACCAGGTAGGTTTTGTGTGCTGTGGCTCCGAAGAGTTTTAGCACTAGGTTTGGTGGCACACGCCTTTAGTCCCAGCACGCCTGAGACAGAAGCAGGCCTAACACCGTGGGCTCTAGGCCAGCGAGCTATAAAGTCAGACCTTGTCTCAAAAGAAAAAAAAAGTGGCCTCCATCTGCCAATTTTCCCCTTAATAGGAACTTGAAGGAAGCTGTCAAAGAAACACATGCCATCCCCTCAGGGAGATGGCAGGCGGGGGTGGGGGTGGGGTGTTGGATGGGATTGCTCTCAACCCACCAGTGCCTAGAAAAAAATGGTTCTTCATGCTGTGTCTTTTTAAAAAGACTCGGTCTTCTCTCTACGTCTCCATCACTGTGTCACTGAACTAACTTTCTGTCCGGTTCTGACAAAATGTAACGACTTTGTTGATACTTTTTCTGACTATAGTGTGCCTTCCTCTCTCCCCTGGGAATTTTGTATTCTTCTATTGCTGCTTATTTAATGGCCACAGTGCTGGAGTTGGTAGAGCAGGGTGTTTCCCAGGATTCCTCTGAGGTGAACGTAATTACCTGCCCATTCTGCTCAGAAAATTGTAATGAAGATCAGTCTGATTTTACGAGTTTTTCGAAACAGGGTTTCTCTGTGTATCCTTTTGGCTATCCTGGAACTCATGCTGTAGAACAGGCTGGCCTCAAACTCAGAAATCTGCCTGCCTCTGCCTCATGAGTGCTGGGATTAAAAGCATGCACCACCACTGTCTGGTTATTTATTTGTTTGTTTGTTTGTTTGTCTCTTTTGATTTTGGGGTCTCTGACTATCCTAGAACTTTCTATGTAGACCAGACTGGCCTCGAACTCCCAGAGATCCACCTCCCTCTGCCTTCCAGTTGCTGAGGTTAAAGGTGTGAGCCATCACACCTGGCTTGTATAAATGTTACTCATATGTATGCTTTCAGGACTATTCTACCTATTCCATAACCAGTTGGTGTGCACGTCTCTGTAGAAGACTGTTTCTCCTGCCCTCTAGTGCTTCATGCACAGCAGAATCAATCTTTTGAAATGATTTTAAAATTACAACTGAACAGTGGGTATATGATTGTTCATTTTTCTCTTAATTCCAAGTAATTCTGATCATTGCACATTTAGCACCCTTTCAAAATGTCCAATATGCTGTCACATGACAAAAAATAACTGGATGTTCATTTCTTCCTGTTTCAAGGAACCATATATTTAGGACTGTTATATATCCTGTGATGCCAGTCCATAATCTACAGATTTTATTTTTCATTTAAACTTACATCAAATTGTTTATGCCTACTCTGATAAAAAGCTGACAAATATACTTTTGATTATTTAAAAGTAAATTTTGTAGGCCTGGAGAGATGGCTCAGTGAGTAAAGGCTGTTGCTGCCAAGGCTGATGACCTGAGTTCAGCCCCTGAGACACACATAATAGAAGAGAGAACCAGCTCCTGAAATCTGTCCTCTGATTTCTACAGCATCCTGTGGCCCATGTGTCCCCACACACATGCAAACAAAGTAAATAAGTGTAATAACTAATTTTTTGGTGTGGGAGAATTGTCTGTATTCTGTCAATCATATTTTAATAAAACGCTGATTGGCCAGGCAGGCAGATAGGGGGGAAAGCCAGACAGGAAGTAGGGGTGGAGCAAAGAGACTGGGAGTATTCTGGGAAGGAACGCTCCCTCCACCATTCCTGTGCAGACCACCAAAGAGGCAGCATGTAACTTGCCCAGCTGAGAAAGGTACTGAGCCATGTGGCTAACATAGATAATGATAATGGATTAATATAAGTTATAAGGACTAATAAGAAGCCTGACTTAATGGGCCAATCAGCTTTATAACTTATAGAGATCTCTGTGTGGTTGATTTTCTCTGGGACTTGCCGGCTGACCCCAACAAGCAGGCCCGTCATGTTACAATTTTTAAAGTAAGTTTTCTAACATTTGGCAATAGTCAGATATAGGAAAGGGTAGAAACAACTGAAATGTGTGGGACACAGTGAAGGAGGTGTACTGTATTTCCTCATCCTTTTCCAGGATCCTGTGAATTAATGGCGGTGCCTCTTTTTACAAACGAGACTTTCTCAGGTGCAGTAACTCGTACACATCACACAGCTAATGACAAAGCTTGAGTTTATAGGCAGATACCTACCTCTGAATGTTGTGTACTTTGTATTATGGATAGAGGCTTACAAGAGCACTGTTTGGATGTATGGCTGAAAGTAATTGCATGTATATGTTCATAAGTTAATACGCTACTTTAAATCTTCTAAATTTTTCCTTACAGATATTTTAATATCCCAACTCCAAGAATACATTGGATAATACCCTTGAAACACCAAGAAGAAACTATGAAGAACTGTGTTTAATTATTGAAACCATGGCTACATCAGCAAATCTGGACATTGGGGCCCAGCTGATCGTGGAAGAGTGTCCCAGCAGCTATAATCTCTCTGGCATGCCAGACATCAAAATTGAACACCAGCTGGACCCAAACTCAGAAGAAGGGTCAGCTCAGGGTGTTGCCATGGGAATGAAATTCATATTGCCAAACCGATTTGATATGAACGTATGTTCTCGATTTGTGAAGTCCTTAAATGAAGAGGATAGTAAAAATATTCAAGATCAAGTGAACTCTGACCTGGAGGTGGCGTCTGTCTTATTTAAAGGTTGAAAGTTATGGTACAGCTCCCTACATTCCCTTTCATTTGCCCGACTCCATTTAGGTTTTTCTGCCATGAGATCAGAGCTAAGGAAGAACCTGAAAGTCATCTTTTAGGAAGATTTTCTAGAATCTCACAGAAATAGCATGAAGTTTCTGTTAATTTTTAAAACTATTCCTTGTCTAAGCAGGTGTAGTGATGCATGCCTCTAGTTAGTCCTTGCACTTGAGAGGCAGTGGCAGGTGAGTTCAAAGCCAGCCTAGTCTAGATAGTGAGTTCCAGGTCATCCAGGGATACACAGTGAGACCCTGTCTCCACAAATAAATAAAATCCTTGCCTGATGTTTATTTACAATTTTCCTAATGTGGTTGTACTTGTGTCTTTCCCTCCCTCCCTCCCTCCCTCCCTCCGTCCCTCTTTCTTTCTTTCTTTCTTTCTTTCTTTCTTTCTTTCTTTCTTTCTTTCTTTCTTTCTTTCTTTCTTTCTTCCTTGTTTTTCTTGAGACAGGGTTTCTCAGTATAGCCCTGGCTGCTCTAGAACTAGCTCTGTAGCCCAGGCTGGCATTGAACACTCACAGATCTGCCTGCCCGTGCCTCCTAAGTGCTGGGATTAAATGTGTGGACCACCACTACCTGGCCTGGTTGTATGTTTTTAAATAATAGAAAAATATTCCTTTTCTTTTTGAAACTTTGTTTACTATTTCCTGTTTCATGACTACTTTACATCTGCTTCTACTACTGTAATTCAGGGATCTGTCAGCATGTTTTAAAGTCACTTTGTAATCTGTTAATAATTAAACTAGTCTCAATAAAAATTTTTTAACATTGATTTCTTCATAGAACTTCCACTGTTGTATAGACTAATGCAAAATTAGTATCACCTGATAAACACTTGAAGCTGTTAAACCTCATACATTTTTTTTCATGTGAACATTGACACTTTTATTAGAATGCTTTGTCATTAAAATACTATTTTAATTTGTTTATTTAGCTGAGTGCAATATCCATACATCTCCTTCTCCTGGAATTCAAGTAAGGCATGTCTACACCCCTTCTACGACGAAACACTTCTCACCCATAAAACAGTCTACCACTTTAACCAACAAGCACAGGGGAAATGAGGTCTCTACCACACCTCTGTTAGCAAATTGTAAGTATGCGCTAAGAATGTTTTGAAGTATTACTACAGTGTAATTAACTAATGCAGTTACATATTAGGAGTTTGGCTTTGAGGTATTAGTTTCACTAAATTTAAACAATTTAGTTTTCAAAGCTTAAGTGATATATTAATCACTTTAATAAGTCGAATCTTTTAAT